GCCTTCCTCCACTTGCTACGATTCTATGACCCCTTTGGAGAAAACGATGTTTTTTTTTGTGTGGTACAGGATAACTTTATTAAAACCAACAAATATTGTGATACCTAAAAGATAGCATGGATGGATGGATGGATGGCACCATCCATATTTATCGAACTTGTCGCCATCCCGGTCAGTCACTTAGGCATGCCATCTTCCGTTTCTAACTCCAAGTATTTACACAGACACAACCTAGTAGTCTGGAGCTCGTTCTAAAATACGATGGTGGGTCGGAAACTCCTTTATTACAAGTACTTTTCGGAAACCGTACACTTTCAAGTGCCGTGTGTGGATCTACAGAGACCGGGCTATTATCACAGACAGGACTATTCTTGCGAATAAGCCTGATATTGTGTTGATGGACCGGGCAGGTCAGTCAAGAATATTTGTGAATCGAGACCCTCATGAAAGCGGAAACATGTAGTCCTGCTTACTTTTGGCTTCCGTCTGGTTGGGTTTTATCTATTTATTTAATTATATTTTATTGTCTTTATTTCAGTAAGTATATGTTTTGTTCTATCGTCTCCATGTTTTAATTGAATTATGTTTAAATATTTTTATAAGTATTTATGCATTCCAACCGGATGAGAAAAGAATATAAATATCCCCACATACATTTTGTTTGCATATTTGTAATAAAATCATAAATAAGACCTCAATTGAGCTCAGAGAATTATATGCAGAGAAATAATATGCATTTTGCTTTTACTATCGGATAACTGTTACGCTATCGTTTTCCGATTTCCTTTTCTATAAACTGGGTTACGCTAGATACTCAATGAAAACATAAAAATATGCAATTTACGTTTGAATGTGCGAAACGGAGGAGTGTTAGAAGTTTATAGCAATATCATGCTATTTCTAGCATGATAAATGCTTATATTAAATATTTCATTCATTTTTAATTACCTTTTCAACGTTGATATAGCTTCTATAAATGTTTTATTTTATAATAAAATGCAGTCCCATTATTTTCACTTTATTACATTTTCAACGCTTCGGTAGCGCAGTGGATCAGAGCTTAGCTGCAGCTAACCAGGTCACTTAATCAATTCTTATATGGCGGAAGCGTTTATATGATCCACTTACATTTAAATCGCCTTCACAAGTAATTGTGAAATTCCAATAAGGTTTATAATAATTCTAATCTTATCTTGAAAGGAAGAAAAAGGAATAATTTTGTTCCCTCATGGAAATCAATTTTAGTTTTAATATGTGCTTAATTTTTTTTAAGAATATGGGTGACAAATGAGTACACGGTCAAGTGGATAGTATTGCCCATAGATATCCACGGCCACCCTGGATTAGGAATCAAAACGCAGACACGCTGTCACTCCGAGACCGAGATGGAATGCCTCGTTTCCAGTAAAAAAAGGGTCCACGGTGCTCTACACTCACCATATGAAACACAGCAGTATCAAACTGCTATTTTACACTCAGTGAGAACGTGGTGCTTCCCCAGTCGAGCTGACCCATTCGTCCTACGACTATAATATAGCTGCAGCATGGCTCTATCACCTCAACATTTATTGTAATTGAATATGTCTTGTTTCAATTTTATTAAAATTTATTATGGTATTATTTTATTTTTATTTATACTATCATTTAATATAATTCACGTAACATTTTGTACATTATTTATAGTAGTAGTAGTAGTAGTATTGTACGTACCAAGTTTGCCTTTTTAATATATTTTCCTCTGTGGGTCTACTGAAATATATTTCAGCAAATTATAGAATAAGTAGAACCTTTTTACAAACTCACTATAAGACTGTGTGTGTATCTTGTTGTGTGTACATAAACGAAAAGAAAGTTTTTAATTATAAATGTACTTCTAGAACACATTGTACTATGTGTGTTATAAATTTGTTACCGAGAATTATAAAGATTAAGGTTATTTTAATACAGTAGTTTTAATACAATAAATTAATCTATAATATGCAACTTTTTCAAGGATTGCAAACAAATTTAGTTACTGTACTTGAACAAACTGTAATTTCGTTCAGCATTCATCCTCAAATTAAAATAAATTAACATTGATGTAAGTATTTGTGTGAAACATAATGTTTTCCCAATCAGAAACAATTGTGTTTAATTGTATTCTATTACATAATTTTTCATATAAATGGATTTAGGAAAAAACGTTAACGCATTTACAGAATACATAAACACTGGCACCTTAAATAATTTTAATATTAAACTCATTTTAAATACACACATTTCAAGAGATAATTGGATAAAACTACGAGCAGTTTGCAAACTTTAAGGAACATTTTAAGCAGGGTTTATTAAATTAGGTATTTTCAATGGAATGTTAATAATTTATGAAACTTTTTGTTTTATTTTGATTTGGTTTTATATTTAAAAATATCAAGAATGTTATTGGTACACAATTTTCACAAAATCTTCTTTCATAATATTTATTGTTTAATTAAGAAATTTTATGAAATTATTTATTTTTCCAATTAATACTATTTTTGTTAAAAAAAAATTGTTGGCCTCTTATTGCTCTGATCGATATATTCAAGTGTAATGTTTCCTATACACGAGGGCTCTGACTAAAAGCGCTGGGAACACTTCACTAAAGTATGTTACTGCTTAGTCATGAAACAAGAGAGGTACTTCTATCATGAGGAAGATACACTTATGCCCACTTGGACGCTCGCGTACATACTTTTTTGTTGATATTGTTACGTATGTGTTTTTTAATTATTTCGACGTGATCAAATCGGCAAATCAAAATCTAATAACCATTAGGTGGAGGATTTCTTTTCTGACCTGGCCTACAAGTCCGGTCGGGTAGGTGTCAGCCAAGTTCTGATAAGGGAAACGCACCGTCAGTGTGCATATTTACACGAACCATGTCGAGACACTTTCGCAGCCCCTAACTCAAAAACTATTAGTCTTACACAATTGTACTTTTAATACATAATAAAACGTAACGTAATACTTCAGCATAACTTTATTACTGTTGATGAAGAGGTAGCTTCGATCAATTCTCATTATCATCATTAATTTTATATGTTTGGCCGTGAAAGGAAAAGGGGAGATCTCCCGCCGGGCAAAGGTGTTCTGCCCGGGGAGCGGCCAACGCTTCGTGTGTTATTTCGGAGTTGTTCTATATATAGCGCATTAAATTCAAAACTTTGATAACGCGATTTAGACATCGGTGGGTTTTGGTTGCGGCGCGATGACAGCACCGCCATATTATATTTATTTTCATATATTTTTTTAATCGCACCTCTCTATTTTAACTATTGTTTGCATCAGTTGTCTACGCAAAGGTGCATACTTTGTGATAAGACCGCCTGTTGTACATATTATACTTTAGATTTAGTTCTACTTGTTATTCTGTATTTTTTGTATAGTAAAGACTAAATAAATAAGTAAATAAAATGTTCTACGGGACCTCTTGAATACCTCGAATCCCCAATTTGATGGATAAGCCTGTTATAGCTCTTGAGTTATTAAGGAGTGATTTTTTATCACTTACTAGTTCTTCACTCATCGAAGACGTGGGTTACTTAGTAACTTGAAATTTGGCTTTTAGGTTACTTAGTAACTTGAAACTTGGCATTTTGGTAGATTATTAAAAAACGTTCACAGTCAATTACTTATTTAGGTTAATAAAATAATAAACTTTATTTTCATATCTATATATTATATAAAAGGCAAACCTGACTGACTCAATCTATCAACGCACAGCCGAAACTACTGAACGAATTTCGCTGAAATTTGGCATACAGACAGTTGTAATGACGTAGGCATTTGTTAAAAACAAATATTTGAAAATTCGGCCCCTAAGGGGGTTAAAAGTTTGTATGAAAGTCCGTCATGTTTAGAGCTAGAAGTCTGAAACTTGGTTTTTAGGTTAATGATTAGAAATAAACAATTACGTATCCTACGGTTTCGGAAAATTCAACCCCTAAGGGGGCGAAAAAGGGGTTAAAAGTTTGTATGGGGAAACAAGATTAGTTTAACTATTATATTTGAAACTTTACAGGAGTACTGCTATTAATAAATAAGTAAAAAAAATATTCCGGCTCTTTCAGAATTCAAGCCCTAAAATGTGGAAAAGTGGTGACAAATTCTGAAAATCAACATGGGTATCGTTTTTACGGTTTATCGGGTCGCTGATAACGAAAACAACAACTATTTCAAAATTAACGTAGCAAATTAATATTCAACCGATATGTTAAAATATGAAACTTACGGTGGACTTTATTAATTGGTAGCTGCAGGATTAATATTTCCGTTTCGGTTTGAAGTATATCGAAACGGTCTGCTATACACATAGTCCGGAACAGATATCTGTCCAGTAAGGCGATTACGATTTAGCCATGATTTATCTAAAGGATATTTTGACGCCTATCTGCCTATTGTAGCGAAGAAAATTACACAGCGTCGCATGGAGGTATCTGTCGAAAAGCGTGATCCTTTTTCAGAGCTTGACCATTTGACTGTTACATCTTTTGTAAACAGCGAAATATCGTCTCCCACCAGCGGAAGAGATCAATCTGTATCGTCGACATTAAAATATGAAAAAAAGAAAATTAAACGAAGGTCGAGATTTACTAATTACACAAGAAAAAGTCAACTTAAAAGTGGAAAAGAAAGATATAGGCAGAGCAAGCCAGATTCAAATCGTAAAGCTGTCCGCTTATCAGAAAAAAAAATCCCGATGTACACAGGCAAGCTGTTGCAAATTACCAAACTGCGAATCCACAAGTGCATAGAGCAATTCAGTCACGGTATGAGGAAAAGATTACACTGCGTTTATGGAAAAACAAGGTCCATTCCGCTATGGAGTATGAGCCTGATATTGCTTATAAAACTGACAGCAGAGTAGCCTTGTATGACATACAAGTGTCAGTGGTGCAATGCGCTGAAATGGAAGGATAAGACACCTGGTATATGTTGCAGTGCTGGAAAAGTGCAACTTGATCGGTTAAAACAACTGCCTGAACCACTCTTTAGTTATATGTTCTGCAAAGTATCATATAAGCCTTTGGGAGAAATTCAAAGAATACCTATCTGAAGATTTTAAAAGGCAATTAGAAAGACAGGGAGATGTGGATGTAGAGCACATAACAGATGTGGTATTTAACAAATGCCTTTCGGTAATAGAAGATGCCGTATTAGCGTTGGGTAGTCGGCTACTAAAAGAGTATGGGTTACCTCAGTCAAGCAAAGAACAACAATTTGAAAATAGAGAGTTTCTTAAAGAGACAAGTTACGACTTAGCATCATTAGAAAACACAGTTAAAAGTAATGAAGGATTACTGAATGACAAACAAAAAGCAGTTCACAATCAAATTAACACAAAATTAAATCAAATAAGACTGGAATATTCTTTTTAGATGCACCCGGTGGAACAGGCAAAATATTCCCTATAAATTTGCTATTAGCAAAAGTTAGAAGTACTCGTGGAATTGCTTTGGCAATGGCTTCTTCTGGGATCGCAGCTACACTGCTTGAGGGTGGACGAACTGCTCATGCTACCTTCAAGTTACCACTCAATTTAACAACAGCTGATACTGCCATTTCTAGAATAGAATAGAATACTACTTGAAATTAGCAACGATGATTACCCGATAAACGACGGAATGATAATTTGTGCCCAGTTATATTCTGGTAACAGGAGTTAATATCCAAAATTTACCCAGATATTGCTCATATCATATGAATGGTTGTGTGAACGTGCCATACTTACTCCGAAAAACGACCATGCATCGGCAATTAACGATATACTGTTAACGTCTTTTTAGGGGGAAGAAATGGTGTACACGTCAATAGAATCTGTGGTGAACACAGATGACGCAATTAAAGCAATTAAAACAAAAATTAAAAAAACTACCCTGTCGAATTTCTTAATTCACTGAAACCATCAGGTCTTCCACACCATATAAGTTAATAATCTCTCGTTGTGATCTGCGCGTGGGCACTCCTGTTATGTTGCTGCGAAATTTAAAACCTCCTTAAATGTGTAACGGAACCAGACTAAAAGTAAAAGCGTTACATCACAATGTAGTGGAAGCCACAATTATAACTTTATGTGCGCAAGGGGAAACTGTATTTGTACCAAGAATTCCCTTGATCCCGAATGAGCTTACCTTTGAATTCCAACGAATACAGTTTCCCCTCAAAGTCTGCTTTGCAATGACCATAAACAAATCACAAGGGCAGACATTAAAATTAGCAGATATAGACTTGAGAGAAAATTGTTTTTCACACGGGAAATTCTATGTGGATTGCTCACGCGTAAGCTCACCTGGTTGTCTGATAATTTTGGCACACAGTAATAGATTAGCAAAAAATGTGGTGTATAAGTAAGTTTTGTAGTTTAATAGCTTTTGCCCGCGACATCCAGTTATAGTTATGGCTTGTACTAGCAGACTCTTTTTCACACATGGGCGCGATATAACCGAACTCCACGCGGACGAAGTCGCGGGCAAAAGCTAGTACTAATTAAGAACCTTGTATGTTCCTATAGATCCTATGATTTAAGCAACTGTCATTTTTACTATTTTCATTTCTAATTTTTAGACTACGTATCTATTTCTGCCGCAAAAAAATAGCTGGCACGGCTGTGTTCCAGTTTGAAGGGTATAGAGAGCGGTTTAATTACAGGCTGGGAGGCATTCCACCTTAGTCCTCATATTTTTTATACGTGGTAGAGCCAAGCTGCAGCTATATTAGTAGTATAGTTGTAGCACGAATGGGTCGGCTCGACCGGGGAAGGACCACGCTCTCACAGAATACCAGCGTAAAATAGCAGCTTAAACTGCTGTGTTTCATATGGTGAATGTAGAGAACCGGAGACCTTTTTTACTGGAAAAGAGGTATCCCATCTTAGTCGTCATGGATGACAACGCAGTTGCATTTTGATTCTTAATCGAAGATAAATGTAGATCTGTAGTCTATGGGGCCCACAGCGTCCATTTATCATACGGTGGGCTGTGGGCTCATTTGTCACCGTCATGCTATAAAGAAATGGTTTCCTTTACGTTGATTCTTTTATTGTTTTATAAAAGAATTTTTTTCATAAAAGCCATGTAAGGAAAATTTTCAATATTCTAAACAATAGTCCGTGTGGTTTGAAACCATCCTCTTACTTATTTGTGCTTCCAAACATTGGTGCCGGCGCTGCTGTCTCCCAGTTTCAATTATATAGAGCGTCAGTATATTTACAGACTGTGAGGTATTTTATCTTAGTCCTTGTTGTTTAATTTGTCAAGACTCCAATAAACGTATTATTTAGCGACTCGAACGCATTGCAACGCAAATATCGAATTAGGTATTTTGAATTTTAAATTTACATTTAATAATTCGCGAAAGTATTCCCAGTATGTGTACTTTATTATTCATTTTGAGCATATTTTTGTTATCTTCGCGCCATCTAAGTTAACATCAAAAGTTTCTTTATGTAGCGCTTAAGGCTACGGAAAAGCTTTTTAGTGGCGCTTTCACTGGAGGAAACGGTAAAGCTAGCTTTCGCAATTTAGGTTCACTGCGATAGGTCGCATTCAGCATCAGGTTAGGTCTTTTCATAAATGAAATATTTAGAACACGAATAACAAAATAAATAATGAAATGAGTTGATGCGGGTTTTCTTTTTTTTTTTAAAGGACTTCCGCGTAAAATATATTATAACAATATTTTCATACTTAAAATGTAACGTAGGTAGAAGTGATACTGCATGCATGATGAAAAACATACTTATTTTTCATGAGATGCATAAAAAAATAAGTTTGTTTTTTAAAATTAACCAGGGCCACATACAGTGACTACTTAAAAAAAAAATAACACAATAATAATAAAGTATCTGAATCTGAAATATCATCGAATTGATCGTAATAATATCGGATACATGCTTAAATATATTCAGTGCCAAAAATGGTTCTTTTACTTTTTATATTTATCATAAAGTCGCTTATTGAGGATTCAACCCTGTCACTACGAAGATAGAATAGATGCTTTACTGGTTTAATACTCTTGATCACTTGAACACCCTATGAGTTTCAGACAAAGCCAAAACAAACAATAGATGTGAAGTACGCTTGTCGTTGCACACAGAACAATAAAAGGCGTTGTGTATGGTGGATGTTCTCTTTGCGATGGTTCAGTTTGAAATTGACGCAACCCCTATTTTCCTTTGTTTTTTAGTCCTTTGAAGTATCATATATCGAGATTTGATAATTTATTAAGGCCGTATATCATAACATTTTGTAACATTCATCAATACTTTTATTATAAAGAACCTTTTATTGGTAAAGAGGCGTTCCGAATGAGTACTCATAGTTGATAATGCATCTACATTTTGATTCTCAGCAGTTATTTTGTAGTCATTATTAAGAAAACGCTGGTGCCCATCTGTTGATTTGTGTCCTTCTGTCAAGTCTTAGGGCCTTCACGAGATGATAAGGTGTAGTGGATATTGTAACGCCACTACATGTTAAACTTTCTGATAACAACTGAAAATAATAAAAACTGCAGTTGTCTACCTATTTGTCGGCGTAGCAACTATGGAAAACAAAACCCGCCTATGAGGCAATCTATGGGAGAGGCTAACGTTCAGCATTGGACTTGCGATGATGAATGAATGAATGAATAAATGAATGTGAAATCCGGGTAAGGTGGTGGACTCATTCCTGTCTTAAATTCCTATATAGCGTTATCCTTGTGTTGCATTTGATCGTGGGCGTCGGTCGACATTTTCGATTAAAGAGCCCCACATTAGAGTACCCCCTCTTCTATAAAAAAAGCGTATTGATTGTTAAATTTATTCTTCATTCATCCTTAAAACTTTATTAGAATTAAGTCGCATGTTCTCTCATACGTACAAAATAAGGTTTAAGCTAACATTATATATATTACAATATCCGTGTTAATTTTCAATCAATATAATGTTATTACTCACACAATATTATCCATAATATCAAATTCATGCTCAATTATAAATTTAACGTAATTAACATGTCTTGGATTGTACTTTGCTTAAACAACCTTGGGTTCTATATTTAAATGTTATATACCAATAAGTATCTATTACATTGACAGATTGTTAAGGAACTCAGAACCATGTTTTATAGCATGCCTTGGAACAGGCCTTTGTTCAGCAGTGGACATGTTAAGGGCTGTAAAATTATGTTGATTTAATACTTTTACATGACTAGTCGAGAGATAGAGCTCCTTATTATGTGTACTTTTAACCAATTTTAAGAAATATCGAGGTTATATCGACTTTATTATAAGTTAGATACTGCTGCTTTTTTCTGTTTCTCTCTCTCGCCTCATATGAAACCCATCAGAGGACACGGCATAGTGGAAAATATTTAAAAATCTTCATATATGCCAATTTCGTTACGGTTCTTCTCACCGCTGATTACGTAGTACATAGCAATAAACAATTTAATCGGTGCAGGTGCTAATACAACTCTGATTTATTAAGGCGTAGAATATACACGAATTTGATAACATTTAACTATAATTCTTTTATCTTAAAATTAAATATATTTTCTTTATAAAATTTAATTTCTGATGGGTTTCCACCAGCACTCATTCAGGATTTTTTTGTAATTGGTCCGATGTTACAACATAGAACTTTCACATATTTCTCGAATTCAATGTATTCGTAGGTGCGCGCACGTTTTAAAGCGAGGAATTTATTTATTTATTTAATTTAGTACAGTACTTTTTACGTTGTAAGGCCCTATTGTAGCGTATTATGGCACGCGCAGCACATAAAGGTCAGCTTTATCAAAGAAGAACCACGTCCGCACAGAACACCAGCCTAATATAATAATAATAATGTTCTCCAAACCGAATTTCGGTCACGGCGGCCAGCGTCAACAGAGACTAGCCATTGGCGTAGGGCAGGATTATAGTGGCAGAATTAAAGATGCACTCTCTATTCCCTCACGCTCATAATCCGATAGGACAGTAAACTGACATGACCAGAGGGCGCAGGACCTGCTTTACATGCTTTCCGAGGCATGGGTATGAGACACCACCAACTTTCTAAGTCCGGGCAGCTACTGAGAATTTCTTGACGGGAAAACTCAATAACTGATTTTAATTGGTTTGACCTGGGATTCAAACCCGGGTACCTCATGATCAGCAGTTGCACTACTGCAACCATTAAATCAATGAGGCAGCATCACCAGCTTAATATAAAAACAGTATGAGAACTACGAACTCATCATATTCTCGAATTTGCTTTCCGTTGTGCAAATTGGTATCGGCATCTACTGCTCTCTTAATTGATG